CATATCATATCGGCCACTGTGGGCAAAATCATCATCGTATACCAGCTGATCAGGTAGTGGTGCATATATAATGCCATAACCTTTCCCATATTCCATATACATATATATACATACATATATACGCGTATATAATGCAGTTTGAATCATATTTCAGCCATTGTAGGCAACATCACCATCATATACCAGCTGATCAGGTGGTAGTGCGTATGTAACGCCATAACCTTTTCCCATATCCCATATACATATATTTACATATATATGCATATATAACGCCATCTAGTCATGGGTCAATGCACATGTATGAAATGCATGAAAAATACGTAATAATCTCAACATTCCTTCTGGATAAATTTTTTCCAACTGCGTATTATTATGAGACCCACGAGCAGAAGATAATAATATTTTTCATGCAGAATCAAGAATATAGACACTCCTACTATTTTTATGAATAGATTAATTTATGAAAACTATGTGTTTGCTCGTTTCTTCAGTATCATATGGACCATGCCAAAAGAAAGAAGGGATGACCTTAACATACCTGGAGTAGGGAAAATTCGTATAATATTCTCGGATGATGATTTTAACGAGCGAGTTATCAATTTCTATTGACAATTCCAGCAAGTCAGCAACACTGGTACCTTTGATCATCTTTTGGCCACTATTCTGGCCATTGTTCCAGCGGCAACTTCTGTGCCAAGATATTAATGATGGCACTCTCAACAAGCTTCCAGTGGCCGAAACTTTTTGAACAAGATTCAGTCACCAAAATATTTCTGACCTGAGGTCTTGCGGTAACTTTTTGGAAGGTTACTCGGCTACTATTTCAATGAGTATTTACTTTTCTCTATATAAATTCTCACAACTAAGCGCCAGTTCACTACTAACTATACATTGACTAAAGCAGTAGTATGAATTTTTAGTTTAATTAGTGCTTAAGAAAACAATTGAAATTAGAAAGCAGCCCGCCATTCATCCACTTCCAAGAAAAATAAACATTTTTGACCATTTAATATCATTTGGTCTTACATACGTTGGTTTTCACTATCTTGTGGTTGAAAATGTTATTAGAATGTAAAGTTTGAGGTGTCAATGTTATTAATTAGGTGCCACCTAATCTAAAAATACTAAGAGTCATTCTTTTAGTATATGGCTTGCTGCCACGTCCTTTTTGTGTAATTAATTCGGTAATATCCCGTTATCCGATAATTAAATAATTATCCACATAATTATAAATTATCTCAAACTACTTAAAATACTAATCACTTTTAATACACCTTATTATCACGGCCATGTGGTACCTTGTATGACACTAGTCGATAAATACCGGGTATTATAGCTCAGACCGTATTTTGTCCCAAAAAGCCAAATTTCGACGAAATTCATTTTCTTACCCGCTCACCTTCACGAATTTTCTCATTATTTGTTTGAAATAGTATAATACTTATAATCTCATTCTCAAACTTACGTCGATTAACTTTCGACGAAACTTTATCGTATAAAAATACGAGATGTAACATCTTATTTCCGAGCTTTCATTAATTTATTTATGGCATACTTTCACGTATGAAAGCATGGGGTGTAACAATAGTCTCGCTAGAGGATCGAGGACGAGTAGTTGGTGGAGGAGCTACAAAAACATGAGTGGTCAAAGAGCGAGATATGATGTGCTTTTGAGGGGCGGAGTGTGAAAAAGTTGTGGGAGATATCAACAGCAGTGGGAACCTGGGCTTGTGATAGTAGTGGGATAGTTGCAGGGTTTTCAGTGTAGTTAGTGGGGAATGAAGGTGGAGGATGCCTCCTGATCCAAGACTGATATATTTCTGGCATATGCCGTTTCAACCTATGGACCTCCTCTTTCAATTCAGACTCCGACTTCACAAACTCCCTCGACGGGTCAACAACTCTTGTGTCCAACTCTATACCAGCCATGACTACCTTGCTCTTTGACCTTGTGTTGTATGAAAGAGTTACTAGTTTAAGAACCCCAAAACCAACCACCCTTATGCTCAATGAAGACAACAAAAGGAACAAAATGAGGTCATCCTGTTAGCATTAGGTCATTTAATAGCTAAAAATATCGCATTGCGTGCAATGCACCTAGCAAAAATTAACGGTTCTAGAATGACTTCGAGGGTCATAAGGTCACTTGGCATCATCCCAATTTTGTTCATTTTATTATTTTTGAGCAAACAAGAAATAGATATATTAATAACTAAGGAACACCTAGTACATAGTCAACATAAGATGCATCACGGAGGACGCATTGGTTCCCTAAGCTTGCTAACAGTTGGCAAGCTTCATTACATAGTTGTTTTTTTTATGGGTAGTGGATTCAAGTCTATCACTTTTCACAAAATCTATTACATCAAAAAGTGGTTCAACAAAAACTTTTTTACTAGTCTTCTGTGCTTTACTTCCTCCTGCCACTCCAAAAACTTGATTGTCCCTATCTAGGATCCCTTTTGCTAGTTGATGAGCAATCCTATTCCCCTGTCTAAAAGTGTGTTGGAGAGTAACCCTCTGCTGGTGCATTAAGGACCTGCAATCATTAACAGTTTTGTTAAATAATTTATTACCAACTTGTATTGCCTGGATTACCTCTGAGCAGTCTGTCCTATCTCAAGTGGGAAGAGATTCCACTCCTTTGCTGTTCTTAGACCTTCCCGTAGAGCTTTTAATTCTGCTGTTAGTGAGCCATTTGCATGTGTTAGTTTTGCAAAACCAACTACCCAGCTACCTTTTGCGTTTCTGAAAATACCACCGAAACCACAATTTTGGTTATAGCTATGAAAACTGGCATCCACATTCAGTTTGAACCAACCCCTAGAGAGTTTGAACCAGTTGACTTTAATAAGAGTTTTGGGAGGGTTAATAGAGATTTTTTCCGTGAATAATTTAAATTCAATGGCCCTTTGCAAAATTTGATAACCACTGATTTGGTTGACAGTGTTATTGTGGTTATTACTGTTTCTATTAACCCAGATGTGCCAAATGATGAAGGAAAAGTAGGTGTTCCAGTTTATAAAGTCATGTTTGCTAGGAAAGTTGAAGTCCTTTATTTGGAGAAGCCAATGTTTCCCATTTTGGTTAATAAGGTGGTTCCCTTGAAGGTCGGACCAGAGTTTGTTGACAGCTTTGCATTCGAGGAAGATGTGCTCTATTGATTCTTCATAAGGGCTTTTACTGATTGGACAGTTAGAGTCAATGTTTAGTCCAATCTGTGAAGGTATTTCCTGCAAGGAATTCGATTGTGAAGGCATTGCCATAGGAAAAATCTAATTTTAATGGGACAATCCAATTTCCAAATCCACTCAAAGTCTAAGTTAGTATTATTAGGAGATTCCAGCAGTGTATAACAAGATTTAGTAGTAAAGAACCCCTTAGTGGTGAGAGACCAAATAGGTAAGTCAATTTTGTTCATTTCAATCTTCTCTTTTCTAGCACTTCTTGGCTTGCTCATTTTCCTTCCCTTTCTTTTCTTTTCTGATTATCGCTCTTTTCTTCCTTCTCATTTCTCACATCCCATAATTTCACATATCTTTTTTCTTTTTTTTTTTCCTTTTTTTTTGTTTTTTAATGTTATCTATTTCTTTACTTTTTCTTTTAATTAAAAAAATGGTTCGAGCGAACCCTATGTAGGTTGCCTACGTATCATGACGCAGTATGAATCAGATCTTTGCGTAGTTCGGAAAGACCGGGAATAAAGTAAACAATCTAACCTTCTCATTTTCTTTTTTCTTTTTTTTTCCTTTTGTTTATTACCATAATGACTACTCTTATGAAAAAAGAGAAATAAAAGAAGCAAATCTTTATTTGTTTTAATTTTATAGACTTAATGTTCCATAACCTATTCTAAACTCAAGCTTAAACAAGCATATATCTTTTTTTTTTGAACAAATATTCTATGAGAAATTATTAAGGAAAAGCCCCTAGAAAAGAAATATTTTTTGATTCTTTTTTTAGGAAAGAAATCTAAAGAATAAACCAAAGAAAAATATTTTGAATTTTCATTTGATATCCCTGAAAAAAGATTTCGAAACGAGAAATTAACAAGTTAAGAAAATATTTTTGGATTTCAGTTTTTGATTACTGAAGGAAGAAACTCTAAAGATAAACAACATATAAAGTATGTTTTTTTTTTCTTCTATGTACAATGTCCTAAAGTTCTAGTGAAAACAAAAAGAGTATTTTTTTTATTTTATATATATATTTCCGAAAAAAGAACCTCAAAAGAAAGTCTTTCTTTTTTGGATTTTTAGAATTAATATCTTAAGAAAACTTGCAAAGAGGTATTAAAGAAAATTCTCTTTTTTATTTTTTATTTTTTTGCTCGAATTTTAGTCTTAATGTACTAAAGGAAATATAAAATATATTTTTTTTTTATTTTGAGTTCTAGATATTAATTTCCTAAAGGAAAACCACCTCAAAAGATTTCTTTTTTTAGAATTTTTTTTCTAGAATTAGTACTCTAAAGAAAACTTCTAAAGGAAATATAAAAACGCAAAATCTCTTTTTTTTTGGATTTTTGATTTATAACACATTTTTTCAAATACAAAATAGGAAGTACAATAACAAAAGACTCGACAAACTTACTAGACTATGACAGACTTCAACATCCCTTAAAAGACTCCATATTACTGTACAGAACTTGAAGGTAAAACACGACATAAAAGGAAAAATAGACTCAAAATATAAAAAATTAAAAAAATTAAAAAATCTCCTTAAGCAACTCCTGAATGAGCGATCTTGACTGGATGGTCCTAAGACGTCTGTCATGCCCAAACGCCGGTAAGTAGATGTCACGACCCTAAACCCGGACCCGGTCGTGATGGCGCCTCTCGTGAAGACAAGGCCTGGAAACTATTCCCAATTCGATATTAAATAGTTAATTAACAAGAAAACAGTCTAAAACATGATTTAATAATACGAAACAACAAATAATATCATAAATATGCGGAAGGACAACCCAACACAGCCCTAAACTGGGGTGTCACTAGTCATGAGCATCTAAACAAAACTGGAATACTCCAAGTCAACTACAGAGTTTAATGCATAGACTAAAGACATAAAGAAATAAGATAGGGAGGAGCTCCGGGCTATGAACGCCAATAGCTACCTAAAGACTCCTAGGACCGCCTGAAGCTGGAAATGATCAGCACTCGGGAGCGGGACCAGCTACGCCTGAATTTGCACACAGGGTGCAGGGAGTAAAGTGAGTACTCCAACTCAGTGAGTAACAAATGTAAATAAAGACTGAAAGCAAGAAAACATGTAAGGCACAAAGCATTATATAATGAAGCAGTAAAACCATTTAAAAGCCGTAAATCAGTGAAAAATAGGTAAAAATCCCTTAACTAAAATATAAATTCATGAAATATCCTTTTCAAACAATTTAGCAGGTAATTGACAGGAAATTAAGGGAAATAAACACATAAAAGTTCGCTTCTCGGGCAACATCTCAGAACAATACCAGCCCCTTGGGCTCAATCTCACATCACAATGGGTACCCACGCTCCCTGGGGGTGTGTAGACTCCTGGAAGTTCCCCTTACGGCCCAAGCGCAATAATAAACCATCTCGTGGCATCAACACTAGGCTCTCAGCCTCATATCAATCAAGCAACCTCGTGGCGTACATATCTCAGGCCCTCGACCTCAAATCATGATCAGTGTTTCCTCACAATATAGGCCCTCAGCCTTACTCAGTCAAAAATACTCACAAGCCACTCAGGTAATAGTAAAACATTGAACCTCAGCCCAATCATCATTTAAAAGACCATTTAAGTATTTAAAATAGAGTAAACATTGCTGAGTATGAAAACAATGGAAAATAATATGACTGAGTTCAAGTATAAAAGTCAAAGCAGTGAGGAAATATCATTAAAAATCCCCGAAGGGTTCAAATAGTTGGCACGAAGCCCAAATATAGCATTCAGCCCATGTAATGATGATAGCAAATAGATTTTAGTCATATACGCGGTAAAATCATCAATTGGGACGGACCAAGTCGCAATCCCCAATAGTGCACGACCCCACGCTCGTCATCAAGCGTGTGTCTCGTCTCAATATATCACTATGATGTGCAATCCGGGGTTTCAAACCCTCAGAACATCATTTACGATCATTACTCACCTCGAACCGGTCAAATCTCTAGCTCGCGACGCCTTTGCCCCTCGAATCGGCCTCCACTCGCATAGAATTTATCCAAAATCAGAACGAGGATGTCAAAATATGCTAAGGGAACAAAGCCCAAGCGAAAATAATCAAAATATGACACAAGTCCCGAAATTACCAAAACCGACCCCCGGGCCCACGTCTCGGAATTCGATAATTTTTACATCAATAGATTCCTTATCTCCCCACGACTTCATATATATCAAAAGTTCTGAATCCGACCTCCAATGGTCCTTCAAATCCTCAATCAAAAGCCTAAGTTTCCTAGTTCTTCAATTTTTGGCTTAATTTCCATGATTATTTAGGTGGAATTCACATTAGAATTGAGTTTTATGTCCAAGAATCTTACCTCCAAGTGATTCCCCTTGAATCTCTCTTCAATCCCCTTTAAAAAGCTCCAAAAACGACCAACAATGGAAGAAATAAACCCCACATTCACGGACAAGACGATCTTTTAAACCTTCTGCCCAGGTCTAATTTCTTTCATCGCGATCGCATCCCCACCTTTGCGAACGCNGGACTTCCTTCGCGATCACGAAGCACAAATCCTCAGCTCCCAAAATTAACCCTATGCGAACGTGTACAAGCCTAGGAGAACGCGATGATCAATCTCCCAACACTATGCGATCGCGAAGGAAGTCCCGCGATCGCGATGAACAACTTCAAGCCAAGACCCCTGCTTCACTTAACTCTACGCGAACGTGACCCACTCCCCGCATTCGCAATCAACAATGCCTTCAACTTATGCGATCGCATCCCCACCTTTGCGAACGCACTGAGCAAACTGGACTGCCCCCACAACATCTCTACGCGATCGCGAGACTCCCTACGCAATCGCGAAGAGTAAAAACTCTGCAACAGCTGAACCAAAATCTGCAACATCTCCAAGGCATGAAATGGTCCGATTGACCATCCGAAACTCACCTGAGGCCCCCGGGACCTCAACCAAAGGCACCAAGATATCCTAAAACCTTATTCAAACTTGTACCAATCTTCAAAACACCTCAAACAACATCAAATCAACCAAAACACGTCGGATTCAAGCCTAAGTTTCAAAAATCTACCGAATTCCGCTTTTGATCAAAAATCCAACCAAACCACGTCCGAATGACGTTAAATTTTGCACACACATCCCAAATGATACAACAGAACTACTGCAACTCTCAGAATTCCATTCCGACCCCTATATCAAAATCTCGCCTACTAACCGGAAATTGCCAAAATATCAACTTCGCCAATTCAAGCCTAAATCTACTCCGAACCTCCAAAACTCATTCCGATCACACTCCTAAGTCCAAAATCACCTCCCAAAGCTATCAGAACTCACATCTGAGCCCTATAACACATATGTCAACATCCGGTTGACTTTTCCAACCGGATATAAGACATTGCATAATTCAAGATTAGTTAATAAAAGATAACATTATTTTCCTTATCCTTTAAAGAAAAATAAAGGCACAACTTTTGACTCAATTATATGATTTTAAGCACAGTCAGATGCTTGCCAAAACTGAAAAATGACATTTGAGGACCTTAAATTAGCCGGATGATAAAAACATATGGACTGTGACTAAGTAGAGAAATAAACAAGGAACCCAGTAATGACCTAGGCATGTGCACTTGAATGTAACAAATCATGAAGATTTTTACCTTAATGAAAACTTATAATAAATTATCCAAACAAAAGAGAACAAGCTAAGGCTATGACAATAATCTGAACAAATTCCAAAATAAAGAAAGAGCATTTGAAGACATTACAAAAAACTCAAGACCATTCCAAACCACAAAATAGACTCTTAACATTAGCAATTTTACTTAACAAGAAAAAGAATAGTAAAATAGAAATAAAATTCAAAAAAACAAAACTTCTGCAACTTACTAAATCTTAGAGGAAAGGAGAGAAAACAGCATAGGGGATCACCTAAATGTCATTTCAAATCACAAAATTGAAGTAAAAATTAAATTGAAACCACTCAAATGTCAAGGGAAAGAGTGAAAGCAGTGAAAGGAAAATCATACTAACCCATAGTATCTTTAAGTGCGCAGCCCCAGACCAATTTCATCAATTAAAGACAAAATCCAACAACCCAATAATTTGAAATTATTGGTAAACTATCTTTCTCTTAATCAAACCTAATGAATATTGATTAACGAACCCACAATAATTTCTAAAGCCATTCAAAAAGAACACAAAGCAATATGAACATCAACATGAATAAATACTGACCATTTCAAACATTCATGTACCATACAACTCCGTTTTATCAAAATTTACTGCACGGAATTGAGAAGAAAGACGAGAGTAATAATCTGACCTCAATTATATTAACAAGAACTCAGTTACAACAAACTCTGACGAACTAAATCTGGCCGGAAGGAGCAACAGTAGCAGGAGCTCGGACCGCGAACGAAGCTTCGACGGTGAACCTCGAGCAGACCCCAAACCTCACGGCAAAACTAACTATGAAAATGCCTGCAGCCTAGAACTGGTATTTAGTGTTTGAATATAGGTTGCCTTTGCTGTAGCCCAGAACTGATGTTTGACGTTGATGCTTCGAAATGGAGTTCTACCGCTGGAAATGGCGAAGTTACTCAGAAAGGGCGGGGAGATGGGCCTGATGGCTGAGGAAGATGTGTTGTTTGGGGTGAGGTGAAGGACTGACGGATCAGTGGTGGAGAGATGCGGCTGGAGCTATTAGGGGTATTCAAGGTTTTCTGGTTTTGGGTGTGAAAGGCGAAGAAGAAGACGTTCGAGGGGGGAAGGCTATGAAAAACGGCAGATCCAGATCTCTCCCACATCTAGGTCTAGGAAATTAGGTCCTCTTATGCTTAGGCATTTTTAGGGTTTAAAAAGAAAGATCTTATGGGTCTAATGGGTTTTTGGGCTTTAAAATTGAAATTAAGTTGGGTCCATATCTTATTGCGTCTTAATTTTGGGCTAAGAAAACTAAAATATAAAAATATAAAACTTACTCTTAATTAATTAGAACACACTACTAAGATAAAACT